TTTTTTGGCAACGGTTAACCGTTGCCAACTCTGATATTTAAAATGGTGCTCACTTAAGTTGGCAACGGTTTTGATGAACCGTTGCCATAGGGGGGTTGCCTATTTCATTTTTTCTACTAGTGTTTAAATATCCCGCATTATCAAAAGTGGTTATATGATCGTATTTAACATTCAATCCAAAAAGTTTTATCCTAAACTTTTATCAACCATCACTACAAGAAAAAGGCCAGATTCCGACGGACATCTTTCGACGGACACAAAATTCCGTCGGAAATCCTATATATTCCGGCGTATTTATATTCCGTCGGAAATTTCCGACGGAATTCCTACGGAATAAAAATCCGTCGGAATATATAGGCATTCCGACGGAATATTCCGTCGGAAGTTGCCAACGAAATATTCCGTCGAAACATTAAATTTCCGACAGAATTAAACTCCGTCGGAAATTTTCGACGGAATATTCCGTTGGAAAATTAAATTTCCGCGGAATCTAATTATATATAAAAAAACAAAATAACAAACCCTTAAAACCCAAACCGCCCCTCCTTTATTTTTATAACTTCTTTTTCTCTCTCCTTCTTCTGATTCTCTCTCCTCCTCCTTCTCTTCCTCTACGCCCCTTCTCTTCCTCTCTCCTCTTCTCTTTCCCCTTTCTCTTCTCTTTCTGGATCTTACTCACATCCTTATTCTCTCCTTTTCTTTGCCCTCTTTCTTTCCCACACTACTTACAACCACCAAGGCACCACCACAATCGCAACAACCACCACAATCGCAACAACCACCCATCAACGGTCGCTCAACATCAACAACCAGCCGCCAATTCCTCGCACCACCTCAGCCGCCGCGTCACCTCCAGCCACGCGTCACCTTCAACCACAACACCTTAGATCTGGTTTTTATTTGGTCAATTTTTTTGTGTATAACTTATTTTTTGACATGATTGTATATTGAAGGTTTAATATTTGAGTTAATTGTACAATATAATTTTTTTTTGTTATATTTCCAATTTGGTGTTATTTTAGATATGTTCATTAATTTTTAATAATTACTTTTTTTTTTAATATATGTTTTGATTTTTTTTGTGGTGAGGGGATACGTTTTTTTTGTTTAGATATGTTTATTTTTATTTTTTTTTGTTTTTGTTTTTTTTTTCTTTTGTGGTGGTGGTGGTGATACGGGTTAGGGGCTAGTGGTGTTTTGGTGATAAGGTTGGGATTTGGTTAAGGTGAGGGTTTTGGTGGGTTAGGTGGTGGGTATGTTGGGTTAAGGGTTACGATGGTGGGTTAGGGTTAGATGGTGGGTTAGGGTTAGGTGGGTTAAGGTGGTGGGTGTGTTGGGTTAAGGGTTAGGTGGTGGGTCTAGTGGGTTAGGGTTAGGTGGGTTAAGATTGTGGGTCTGTTGGGTTAAGGGTTAGGTGGTGGGTTACGGTGGTGGGTCTGGCGGGTTTGGGTTAGGTGGGTAGGGGGTGGGCTGGTGGGGATGTAGGCTGGTGGGTGTGGGTGTGGGTGGGGGCGGTCTGGGCAGGTGGGTGGGGGGTTGTTTTTTTTTTTTTTATTGACTTTTCCGACGGAATTTTCCGTCGGAATATTCTTCTTCCGACGGAAAATTTCGTTGGAATATACATCTTCCGACGGTAAATTCCGTCGGAATACAATCCACCTCCGACGGAAATTTCCGTCGGAAAGTTGCGACGGACTTTCAATTAAAGTCAAAAACGGCGCCGACGGAATTAGATTCGTCGGAAATTCTGTCGGAATCACCTCTTCCGACGGAACTTCTGCCAGAAAAGGTCGAATTTCCGACAAGGGGTGCTGCGACAGAACTATTCCGACGGATTTTGCTATGTTTCCGACGGAAAAATTCCGTCGGAATCCAGCTGTTTTCTTGTAGTGCATCTAAGCATCGCCTGGGCACAAAACTAGATAAAAAGTTTAATTTGAAATTCAATTAATAAATCGGGCATCATCAACAAAAATTAAAATTCCAAATAGGCAATCGTCTTTATAAAAATAAAAGAATAATAAAAAAATAAAAAAATAAAAAAACCCTAAAAGTCTAGGAGCCGAAAAATTACTTTCGAACCAAGGTTTTGAATAAAGTCTAGGAATACTCAAATTATTAAATGTCAATGGAACCGTAAAATTAAATTACTCATCCGATTATGAACATCTAAAGCAATTAATGTTTCAAACATGCATAGATTTAGACATTAGTGATAACGCCTTTGAGAAAATAATTATTCCTTATAAGTAATTACTTCCTCCATTTCTATTTAGTTGACGCGTTTAATTTAGACACACATATTAAAGAGAGGGAAGAGAATGAGAGAGAATAATAAAGCAAGTGGGGTATACTAATAAATGAAAGGTATAAAATTTACCTAAAAAGGAAACGTGTCAACTAAAAATAAACTTCCTAAAAAGGAATACGTGTCAAAAAAAAAAATGAAGTAAGAATTTTATAATTAGCCAATTAATGTAAGGATTTTTAAATCATAAGGATATATATTATGAAGGGAATCCGAGACATCGCCCGAAATAGGTACTAGTTATAATCCTATAAAGCAAAACAATTATACAAGGTCAAGATTATTCACTAATCACTTACTTATTGTCGCACAGCTTTTGAATTATACAAATATTGTCGCACAGCTACACACATAAAGAATAGATAAAGAAAGGATCTATACGTGTAGAGCTTTTACCAATTAGGCAATTACCATAATTGATTTGGATTATAGTCATTATAAGTTGAATTCAGCCACAATTTGTGTCTGTTTCCTCCGATTTTAATTTACAAACCACCACATACCCTAACTCGTGGGATGATTGAGCTACTATAGAAAAATGTATTCGTAGTCAATTTTATTATAGTGGCTTGTTAATAACATACTTTCCGTACAATGTAACAAGTCTAACACCGACCTGCCCACTGACTTAATCAAAGAAAGTAGTACCCTTTCAAAAAACAAAAAATCAAACAAAGTAGTACGAGTAGTTAGAAAAAATCATTTTCAAGCATCTTGTCTCTATATATATCTTTTACTACTACGTATTAGAAATGTGGTCTTGCGGATAAAATAGTTTGAATATGAAGCATGTATGTAAGTACATACAACACCTTTCGTGTGCGCACAGTTGGTTATATCATGTGATTGCTCGTAAAAAAATAAATAAACCCCTATAACACTAATTGAGTAATAATCCATATAACACTGACCGAGTAACCTCTATAACACAGACCGAATATTCCTTGTAACACTAATGAAACCCTCATGACAAGCTGGTCACACGACATATAAGAATTTGTGATGTAAGTTTGTTTACATAAATTAAGGGCTCGTTTCAGTGGCGGATCCAGAAAAAATATTTAACGGGGTCAAAATACTTTTAGTGGGGCCATTTGATAAAAATACAAGTAATTTTTATAGTAAAAAAATAATTTTATAAGAAAAAATTCTTTTTTTTTTATGCTCAAGTAGGGTCAAGGGACCCCACTCAAATGGCTTTGCATCCGCCACTAGTTCGTTTGGTTAAATGGAGGAATTGCAACTTCCTTGAATATTTAATTTTCCATGTAATTGATTTTCTAAGAAATTCTAAAAATTATTTGGTTAATCGAAAGAATCGAAGTGGAAATTCCCTTGGGAAGCTCCACTTAATTAAATTCTTTCATTTTGTATTGAAGTAAAAATTCCTAAAATTTTCTACTTTTCACTTCCCATAATTGAATTCGTCAACCAAACACAAAAAGAATTTCAATTCTAGCTCAAACATATTTACTTTCCATGTTTTTTCCGTCAACCAAACGATCAACATCTATATTTAAATAATTTATTGAAATACACTACTTACTCTAATAACTTGATTAGAATTTATATCTACCCACAAGGTAGTAGATTTTATTTTATTTATTTTATTTATTTTTTATTTTTAATTTTTTTTTTGTGAAAGACCACAAGGTAGTAGATTACGCATTAGGAACCTCTGGTATAAATTAATGGTATTACTACACCAAATTTTTAATGTTTATTTGTAGTGCGTTATCTATCTTGTAAGTGCTTTTAGCAATGTCTCGAACTTCCTGTTGCAACTTACAACATAGCAGCTGCTTGCCTGCTTCCATGGATCTTTGTTATTTTCTGCCTTTTAATTTTATTTTTTTCATACATCGTTATATTGTTTATTTTATTAAAAATGGATTTATCCTGATAACTTATGAAGTTAGCTTCCACGAAGTTAAGCTGTTAAAAAAGTCCATATTAGCACATCACACCCGAATAACAGCATTTCATCTCGTAACATTCAAACATACGACCAATCCAATCAAATACCAAACTCCCTATTTATTTCTCGTTATTATATTCTCCAATCATCCTCTCCACAAAATTCAATTCAATCGTACCATCACGCATATTTTTTAATTTTTTTTTTTATATAGATGATGAAGTACCATTACGCATATGTTTTGCCCCTTTATCCCTTTATTTCATCCTCCTATGTTATTATAATTATTTTGTGATTTGTTATTTTATGGTTTCCAATACATATATATATTATGTAGGAAGGACAATTTAAATTCGACTAAACGTGAATTACATGATCAAATAAAAGGTAAAAAAGGAAATATGAGAGTTTGACAAACAAATATAATATACAAAGTGCAAGTATGTTTACACTTACCCTATCAAAGTAATAGAAATCTTCAAATTTCAATTTCATAAAATTAAGTTTAATTTGAATAAGTTTTAAGTCCTATAGAGTTAATAAGGGAGAGGGTCACAATAAATTTCTTACTCCGTATTAATAATCCTGTATTTATTGATTTAATGGAAGTTAAGCTAGTGTTTATGTTTAATACGAGTGCGTTTAACATAGGCTTGTAACTCCGCTTCTTATTATTAAATCTTTGATAATAAGAAGTACGAGTACAAATTACTCCAAATTAATGTATGTGAAAGTGATACAAAAAAAAAAAAAAAAAAAAAAAAAAAAAAAAAAAAACCACGAAAGTTCAATAGAAGAACCTGCACTTAAAATAATAAGTTATAAAATATTTTCTAAGAACTCAAAATAATCTCATTTCAAATATTTTGGTTCACGTAAATTTGGTCAATGATGATAAGAGGTAGCTTAGAGGCTTAGACCAATTGTAATTTGTAAGAGGAATAATATATTATTTGAAAAACAAAGTCCATTACGACTATTGATTAGTGAATACAATTTCCTCAACCCTGAAATTTATATAACTTATGTACCAAATTTGTTATTCACCCACCCATAGTACCTCTTGGCCAATTATGTTTGATATAGTTGATGTGTAAGATGTAACACTTAAAGCCGAGTCTTGTTACTGATATCCGGGTAGTGGTCCTCGTTATTAGTCGAAAAGAAAAGGAAAAGGATAACATAGAAAAGGAGAAGAAGATGCTTCTTACACTGCTGGCTGCTGCAAATCAACTTGCTGGAAAATCAAACTCTTTAAACCCCTAAAAACATAATTTAAACACAAATTCATCACCCTTTTGTCCTCTTTATCCCTCCATTTGCATTAATCTATTATACCATCACATTCAAATCACCCCATTTCCCCTTATTTTTACTATAAACCCACCATCTCAACCCTCTAATCTCCCCCCTTTAGCAACTCCATCCCTCCTCCTAAACCAACCCAACCGAAATGTTTTCACCGGTTGCGCAACCTCCAACCACCATCATCACTTTCTCTGCCCTCGCCTTCCTCCTCCTCCTCCTCTTCTCTCCTGACTCTAGCGCCGCCATCATTTCCTCGCACACGTTCGGGTTTCCCTTTGACCACACCTACTACGACACCTTCCAAGTCCAATCCCCAGCCACTATCAGCAACGGTGCACTCCAAGTCACACCCGACTCCGCGGGTAACTTCACACTAACTAACCGTGCTGGCCGCATTCTATTCAAACAACCTTTCGTTTTATGGGAGTCGCACGGGTATAACCGTACCCGTGTCGCCTCATTCAACACTTCCTTTCTCATCAATATATTTCGCATCAACAATACCGACGGCACCCCCGTCACTCCTGGCGAGGGTGTCGCCTTTATCATCGCACCTGACCTCGCTGTCCCTCCTGGTAGCTCCGACGAGTTCCTCGGGTTGACCAACTCCTCCTCCGACGGTAACCCCAACAACAAACTCCTCGCTGTCGAGTTCGATACCGTTATGAACGGGCCTTACGACCCGGATGATAACCATATCGGGGTCGATATCAACTCTATTAGATCTAACCACACGGTTTCTCTATCTGATTTTAATATCACTCTCGCGCCTAATGGGACGGTATTTCATAAGGTCTGGATGTTCTACGATGGCGGTGAGAGTAAATCTCTCACCGTCTATATGGTAGACCTCTACGACCAACAAGCGGAGGCGGTTATGCCGGATACACCGGTAATGAATGTGACCGGCATCGATCTGAGCAAGATTGTTAGCCCGGTTTCGTATTTCGGGTTTTCCGCGTCAACCGGAGACGTCATCGCGGAGCTCCATTGTGTTCTAAGCTGGAACATAACAGTGGAAACAATTAAAGAACCTGGTGCTGGAAAAGTTACAATTGTTCTCGCAGTCGTTATTCCTGTGGCGGTAATATTATTAATAAGTATTGGAATAGGATGGTACTTTTGGAATAAGAAAACCCGGGGATCGATGTCAGACCCGAACATACTCGGAGCTTTGAAGAGTTTACCGGGTATGCCGAGGGAGTATGATTTTAAGGAGCTTAAAAAGGCGACAAATAATTTCGACGAGAAAAATAAATTGGGACAAGGAGGTTATGGTACGGTATATAAAGGGTTGTTACCGGTTGAAGCTTTTGAAGAAGTTGCGGTAAAAAAGTTTTCGAGGGATGAGATAAAAAGTAAGGATGATTTTTTGGCTGAACTTACGATTATTAATAGGTTGCGTCACCGAAATCTCGTCAAATTACTAGGTATGTTTTTGATTGATTTGTTGATTATATTCCTTGGTGTATTAATTGTGTGTGTTGGTTTGTTGTGGTATTTCCTATATTTGTGGGGCTCATTAATTGCTTTACTATTTGTTCTATTCTATTTTTGGGTATGTATGAATTGGATAAACTTATAGATTTTTCGATTTTTTTGATCTGTAAGGAGAATCTGTCATGTAACTTGAGTCGTGATATCGTGGGTTAGTACATGGATTTAGTTTTGCAGATGTGTTGTTTTCGACTAAAAGATTGAAACTTTTGATCTACTTGGGTGAAAAAGACTAATGGAGGCTCTTTTTTTACAAGTACTTTTACTACTAAAATCTTGTGTATTTTGCCAAATTTCAAAACATCAATGTTATTCTTACATTGCGTCCTAAGATGACAGCGGTGAATCTAGTCTAATTTTTAGGTAGTGTGTTTCTATGTACATGTGAGTACTGAATAGGTTGCCATTTTTGTGTTGTCTTGCTCAATGAATTTTATCTGTTGTATCAGGGTGGTGCCATCAAAATGGGACACTGCTACTAGTCTATGAGTACATGCCCAACGGCAGCCTAGACAAGCACATATTCTGTGGGGAGGACAAGGTGCCCTTAAGCTGGGAGCTCCGTTTCAAGGCCCTGAAGGGGGTAGCCTCCGCTCTTCACTACCTGCATAATGAGTTTGATGAGAAGGTGATTCACCGGGACTTGAAGGCAAGCAATGTCATGCTCGATACCAACTTCAATGCTCGTCTTGGTGATTTTGGCTTAGCTCGTGCATTAGACCATGAAAAAACCTCATATGCCGAGCTGGAGGAGGGTGTGCACGGCACAATGGGGTACATTGCTCCTGAGTGCTTCCACACAGGCAGGGCTACTAGAGAGTCTGACATTTTCGGCCTTGGAGCAGTCCTTCTTGAGGTGGCTTGTGGGCTTCGACCTTGGACAAAGAAGGGTGGCTATCAATGTACAGTTGACTGGGTGTGGTCAATGCACAGAGATGGAAACATCTTAGGGGCAATCGACGAGAGGCTAGGAAACGAGTATGTGGCCGAGGAGGCAGAACGAGTTTTGCTCCTAGGTTTGGCCTGCTCTCACCCTACAGCAACAGAGAGGCCTAAGACACAAGCAATCAAACAGATACTGTCAGGGTCAGTTCCTATGCCTCATGTACCGCCTTTCAAGCCATCTTTCGTATGGCCAGCAATGGGTCCTATGAACGGCGCCACCTCAGAAATGACAGCCGAGACCACCATCGCATCATCACAGTATGATAACTCTCTTTGGACTCCCCGTTCTGATGTCAGCCCACATAGTGGTAGTGTATACTCCATGGCATGATAGGAACAATATATCATCAGATAACAACATAACAGCAGCAACAATTATGGCATTCCTGCTGTATTTTTTCCCTTTTTCTGGTAACTTTTCTGTCATTTATATGAAAAGTTCTGCTTAATTCATAGTTCAGGGCATAAGCAATTAAGCACTTGAATTTGTGTCCCAATTTTTTTCCCACTTTATTTGTACATGGGGAAGAGGGTGGATTGTCAATGTAAATTATAATTTGATTATTTCATTAGTTGTGGTTGTACTCCTGTGCGTTGGTAAACCTGCAATGTATAAGCAGTTACTACCATGCTGATAAACCTGCAATGTTTCCGAAGGAAGACAGTGATTATTTCATAGTTCAGTGAGCTTGATCAGTTTCGATATCTTCTTAGCTTCAGTACTTCTGTATCTTCATTTTATGATGTTCTTCTTATTCAAGAGGATAAACATCAGTGCAAATAAATGACAGATGATAAGTATTTGATACTGAACTTTGACAGGGACAACAAATATATTAATCAAACAGCGCAATAATTTCATTAGACCGGTCAAGTCTTTGTATAATCTTTACTTTATTAAAGGTAGAGTTGTTAATGATCAATGTCAATAATTAGCATCTACGCTAACCATAATCCGATTAATTAAAAGGATCTTATGTATGATTGACTAGTAAATTAGAGTTCTGCGCTAATCATCAATTCTGTTAATTAGATTAATCACATGCATGTTTGACTAATTTTATTAGAATTCTGTGCTGATGAAGACAAATTGATTGCTCAAGCAATCATGTTTAATTGTTATAATTTTTTGTCATAATCATATCTTCCAATTGCTTATATTCCTTCTAAATAAAACCATGCATGAGGCATGGTGTGGAACAAGAGCAAGGAAGCAGAACCCTCAACCCTTGGATCACAACCGTGATTTTAGGAGTCACTATTATAAAATAAAGAATGCCTGATAAGCAACTATGTCCATCATTTTCATGTTTCCATAATAAAATAATTTTCAAATTGATTTCTTCAATAAGTAGATAATCAGTGAAATATCATCTTCAAGTGATATCAGACCCTGTAACAAGACTAACAACTATCACTTGAAAAATACACTCAGAATTAAAAAGCAATGTCCTGTTTTTATTTATCCTATTTTTTGGTGGCAGGAAGATCCTTCTGCTATCCTGGCCAACTTAGCATATTCTGTACGGCCTACTTACCTAGTCGAATTAGGTCTAGGACTTCTCCGGCATGCAGCTTCTTTGAATTGCGAAGCCTCCTTAACTCTTCATAAGTTATGGGAGCATAGAGGCGAGGGTGTTCAGCATCAACAAACTCTGCAGGAGCTTCAATTATTTTATCTGGTGGTGGTGAAAGAAATGTTGCAATTGACATACGTATCCCTGCACCCTTGCATTGAACCCGATGCTGCACATTGCGAAGAATTCCATTGCTCCATGGCTTTCATAGTTTCAACAATCACTAGTCAGGAATGTCAGTAAAGAAAAATAAAAGATTCAGGTTACATCTGAGGGATGTTTAGGTTATTGTTATTAGACCAACTTAATTAAGTTATTATCTAAATTTAATCAAATTGTTGATAAGTATATTAGGTGACTCGTACTTCGTAGCTTTGTCCGCCCGATCGGGCGGACATTGCCCGGTCTGACCGGGCGGAAGAAGAAGAGGTGCCTGGCAAATTCGTTGAAGAAGCTGCTCTCGCGCCCGACCGGGCGAGCCTTCGCCCGACCGGGCGAGCCTTCGCCCGATCGGGCAGACCTTGCCCGGTCTGACCGGGCGGTGGGGGTTGGATACGTTGAAGCATTCGTATGGAGTTTTCTTCTCGCGCCCGATCGGGCAGACCTTGCCCGGTCTGACCGGGCGGAGAAGGAAAAATACGGAACGCGGATTTTGCGGTTTTAGGTTATCTTATTTTATTATCTTTTTGCCCAAGTATCTTTTAATTAGGGATTAATATAAAACCTCCCTAATATCAGTATTAGGGTTAAGAGAGACAGAGTGAGAGCCGTTCTTGAGAAATACAAGAATCATCTTTGTAATCTTTGCAGTTTATAGTGAAATCATTCGATCTCGGTGCCCGTGGACGTAGCTATCACATCGATAGTGAACCACGTAAATTCTTGGTGTTGTTCTTATTGTTTGCATTGAATTTCTTTATTGTTTTCTTGTTTGTTTACGACCTTTGCTTCCGCTGTCGCACAACAATTGGTATCAAGAGCTCAGGTTCAATCCTTGGAGAGTTTCTTGAAGATAACAATGGCAGGAGATTCAACAATAAGAATTGAGAAGTTTACCGGGAAAAATAGTTTCGGGCTATGGCAAATTAAGATGAAGGCTCTGTTAAAACAACAGCAGATATGGCGTCCGTTGGCTCCAAAGAGTACTACTTCGGAGTCAGGAGACGGACCGACTGACTCGCAGTTAGAAGTTATGGAAGAGAAGGCACACTCTACCATATTACTTAGTCTTGATGATCAAATCATCACGGAGGTTGCTGATCAGGAAACGGCGGCTGGATTGTGGCTGAAGCTGGAGTCATTGTATATGACTAAGTCGTTGACCAACAAATTATTACTGAAACAGCGGTTGTTTAGCCTCCGGATGCAGTCAGGTACTTCCTTACGGGAACATCTAGAAAAACTTAACTCTATTTTGCTTGATTTACGTAATTTAGATGTTAAAATTGATGATGAGGATGCTGCGTTGATTTTACTTGTATCTCTACCGTCTAGCTTTGAGAATTTTGTAGAGTCTTTTGTTGTTGGTAAGGATTCTATAACCTTAGAAGAAGTGAAGGCAGCACTTCATACTAGGGAACTCAGAATGAAAGCTACGAGTGATAATGGGGATAATGGTAGTGGGTTATTTGTTAAGTCCGGAAAGTCTAAAAAGAATAAGGGGTTTAACAAGGGGAACAATGCTGGGTCGGGTGCTGGAAACGGCAAGGATGGATCTAGTAAAACTACTACTAAAACATGTTATTACTGTAAAGAACCGGGTCACTTTAGGAATAATTGTCCGGTGAGGAAAAACAAGTCCCAGGCTGCTGTAGTTGAAGAGAAACCGAATGAGAGCTATAATTCAGAGGAAGATTTAGCATTAGTCAGTTCTGCTAGGTCTGATGATTTATCTGATAACTGGGTTCTAGATTCGGGGTGTTCGTTCCATATGTGTCCACGTCGAGATTGGTTTGATACATATGAACCTCGCAATGGGGGTATGGTTATAGTCGGTAACAATGCTCCATGTAAGGTCACAGGTATTGGTTCCATGAGGTTGAGGACTGTTGATGGGCGGAGGTTAACTTTGACTAATGTACGGCATGTTCCTGCTTTAGGAAAGAATCTGATTTCATTGGGTACCCTGGATGAATTGGGGTACAATGGTGTGTTTTCAGATGGGGAGTTGTGTATTTTCAGAGGTTCTGAGTTGGTACTTAAGGGTATCAAAAGGAACACCCTCTATGTTTTTGAGGGTGTTACACTGCCTAGTTCTGCGGTTTGCGCATCTGTATCTCACCAGGAGATGACTAAGATTTGGCACATGAGGCTTGGTCATATGGGGGAGAAGGGGATGCAGCTATTGTCCAAGAGGGGTCTTCTATCCGGGGTCAAGGTTGCCAACCTTGAATTTTGTGAGCATTGTGTGTTTGGTAAGAAACACAGGTCAAAGTTCAGCAAGGGTGCTCACATTACTGATGCAGTGCTCGATTACATCCATTCAGATTGCTGGGGTCCATCTAGAGTTGAAGGTATGGGAGGTTACCACTATTTTGTGTCATTTGTTGATGACAAGTCCCGATACACATGGCTTAGGTTGCTTAAGTCAAAGGATGAGGCCTTCAAAGTTTTCAAGCAATGGAAAGCTTTGGTGGAAAATCGACAAGGAAGGAAGATCAAGAAGCTACGAACGGACAATGGGCTAGAGTTTTGCAAAGACGAGTTTAATCAGTTCTGTGCAGATGAGGGTATAGGTCGGCATCATACTGTCAGGAAGACACCACAGCAGAACGGTGTAGCAGAACGGGTTAATCAGACACTGCTAGAGAGAGTCCGATGCATGCTCTCTAATGCAGGGCTTGGGAGGAGGTACTGGAGTGAAGCTGTGTTAACAGCTTGTTATGTCATTAATAGGGGTCCTCATTCTGGAATTGATTCCAAAATTCCGTTTGAGATCTGGAGTGGTAAGTTGCCTAATTTTTTCGAATTTGAAGATTTTTGGTTGTGTTGCTTATTATCATGTTATTGAGGGTAAGCTGGATCCACGAGCCAAGAAGGGGTGTTTTGTTGGGTACGGGGATGGTGTGAAGGGGTTTAGAATTTTTTCACCTTCGGAGGGTCGGGTCATTCTTAGTAGGGATGTTACTTTCGATGAAAACACCATGTATTCAATTAAAAATGCAGAGATTTCAGATTTGAGAAGGGAAGGAGACAATTTATTACAGACAGATGGGGTACTTGAGGTACATCAGTCTACCATTGCTGATTTACCTCGGGTACAATATATTGATGATGATGCTGATGTTCCAGTGCCGGGTACTCCTGAACCTGAGATTACTCCTACTCATTCTAACTCTGGGGATGAGGTGGAGCAATCTAATCAGGGGTCATCTAGTCAACCTGACACCATTCTTGAGATGCCTAAACGAGTTATCAAGAAGCCTGTTAGATTGATTGAAGAGATGGAGGGAAGAAATTGCTGTGTTGATGCGATGACAGGTTATGCATTGAGTGTAGCTGATGATGTAGAGTCATTTGAACCTGCCACATATAAACAAGCAATTAGTTGTAGTGAGTCTGCGCAATGGCTTGCCGCAATGGGTGAAGAGATGCAGTCTCTTTACAAGAACAGAGTGTGGGAACTGGTAAAGGTACCGGAAGGGAGGAAGCTTGTGGGTTGTAAATGGATTTACAAGAAGAAAGAAGGGTTGTCGGAAACTGAGCAAATACGTTTTAAGGCTAGGCTAGTTGCTAAGGGGTTCAGTCAGGTAGAAGGGGTTGATTTTGTTGAGATATTCTCACCTGTGGTTCGACATACTTCTATCCGTGTGTTATTGTCAATTGTAGCACATTTTGATCTTGAGCTGGAGCAGTTGGATGTTAAAACGGCCTTCCTTCATGGCGATTTGGAGGAGGAGATTCTGATGAAGCAGCCCGAAGGATTCGAAGCTCCTGGAAAGGAACACTATGCCTGCAGATTGCTAAAGTCATTGTATGGACTTAAGCAATCCCCCCGACAGTGGTACAAAAGGTTTGATTCTTTTATGGTTTCACAAGGTTTTGACAGGAATTCATATGATTGCTGTGTGTATCATAGTAAGCTGGATAATGGTTCCATGATTTATCTTTTGTTATATGTTGATGACATGTTGGTTGCCACAAAGAATAAATCTGATATTGCTAGATTAAAGGAGATGCTTAACTCGGAGTTTGACATGAAAGACTTGGGTGCAGCTAGGAAGATTTTGGGTATGGAGATCTACAGGGATCGGGCTAGAGGTAAGCTTTTCTTGACTCAGAAAAGCTACATTGAAAAGATTCTGTCTCGTTTTGGGATGGAAAAATCGAAGCCTATAAGTACGCCAACTACTGTTAGTTGTAAGTTGTCTTTGTCTATGTCACCTCAATCAGAGGAGGAGTTGTCTTATATGTCTAGAGTTCCATATGCAAACGCGGTTGGTTGTTTGATGTATGCTATGGTCTGTACTAGGCCGGATATTGCGCATGCTGTTAGTGTTGTAAGCAGGTTTATGGCTCGACCTGGGAGGAAACACTGGCAAGGGGTGAAAAGGATTTTTCGCTACCTGAGAGGGACAGCTGATATTGGTCTTGTGTACGGGAATGGTAAGGAATGCTTGGTCACTGGGTACAGTGATTCTGATTATGCAGCTGATGTGGATACCAGGAGGTCTGTGACTGGTTATGTGTTCACTTTGGGTGGTTCTGTGGTTAGTTGGAAGTCTACATTGCAGTCATCAGTTACGTTGTCAACTACTGAAGCTGAGTATATGGCTTTAACTTCTGCAGCTAAGGAGTCTATTTGGCTCAAAGGCCTAGTAGGTGAACTGGGTATTGCACAGGATTTTGCTACAGTGTATTGTGATAGTCTAAGTGCGATTTGCTTAGCTAAAGATCAAGTACACCATGATCGGACGAAGCACATTGATGTCAGGTATCATTTCTTACGTACTGACAAGAGGATTAAGGTGAAGAAGATTGGGACTGCTGACAACCCGGCTGATTTCTTCACTAAGCCTGTTCCGTTTAGCAAGTTTAAACATTGCTTAGACTTGTTAAATATTGATTACTACGTGATGTAGTAGGCCCTGAGGGGCGAAGTTGGGGAGCTCCTGGTGTAGGTGTGTTGGCCTTAAGGTGGAGCTTGCCCGGGGCTTGTGATGCAGGTGGAGCATTATGAGTTGTTATACTTGGAGACGAGTATGTGATGGGTCTTGGTTGAAGACTTATCGGGATGTATGGCTTATGCATGAGTCTTGCATCGGGTTTGGCTTGAGATGTTTTTTTCACTATGTCTTGATGGGGTCGTTTGCTGACTACGAGTTCTCGTCAAGGTGGAGATTGTTGATAAGTATATTAGGTGACTCGTACTTCGTAGCTTTGTCCGCCGATCGGGCGGACATTGCCCGGTCTGACCGGGCGGAAGAAGAAGAGGTGCCTGGCAAATTCGTTGAAGAAGCTGCTCTCGCGCCCGACCGGGCGAGCCTTCGCCCGACCGGGCGAGCCTTCGCCCGATCGGGCAGACCTTGCCCGGTCTGACCGGGCGGTGGGGGTTGGATACGTTGAAGCATTCGTATGGAGTTTTCTTCTCGCGCCCGATCGGGCAGACCTTGCCCGGTCTGACCGGGCGGAGAAGGAAAAATACGGAACGCAGATTTTGCGGTTTTAGGTTATCTTATTTTATTATCTTTTTGCCCAAGTATCTTTTAATTAGGGATTAATATAAAACCTCCCTAATATCAGTATTAGGGTTAAGAGAGACAGAGTGAGAGCCGTTCTTGAGAAATACAAGAATCATCTTTGTAATCTTTGCAGTTTATAGTGAAATCATTCGATCTCGGTGCCCGTGGACGTAGCTATCACATCGATAGTGAACCACGTAAATTCTTGGTGTTGTTCTTATTGTTTGCATTGAATTTCTTTATTGTTTTCTTGTTTGTTTACGACCTTTGCTTCCGCTGTCGCACAACACAAATAAACAGTATTATGATGATCAAATGAGAAATTATGAATTGAGGTTGAAGAAATTACTAAAATAGGGGCGAAATTAACTTACCACAGCAACGTCTCCAAGATTGACAACCAGTGTTCCTGGCAAGGGATCAGCAGCAACAAATTCACCTGACTCATTCATTACTTCAAGACCGCCAAGATTTTCATCATCCTGAAGTATAGTAAGAAATCCAGAGTCTGTATGGATCTGTACACCTGAGGAACCTATTACCTCAGGGGTGAAGCTGTATTTGTTTATTCTGAACTGAAGAGGCCAACCTTCGAAACTGTAATCTGTCAAACCCAAGCTCATCGACATCTTGCTTGCAATATCTATTGCAGCCTTGTATGTTGCTCGTGCATAGCTCTCAATTATCTCCCTGTTAAAATTATAGCCTTTGAGTAAATAACCTGATTAATTTCTGAAATCATTTGTAACTTAACACAGACAGAGGCAATTCTCCATATTTTCTAATATGCTTATAAATTTGCACATTCATTTAGCTTCATATTCAGCATACAGCCCATATCCAAAAGAAATTAAGTTTCATAGTTTTCTTTGTACTCTATACAACACATTCATCTCTTCATCAAAAGCATATATTATATAAACATGTTCAAGTTAGTATCATTCCTTAATCTGTTTCAGGCCTCATTATGATCGATGTATAGCATACTTCAAATTTTTCCACATTAAGATAGTAACAGATGATTCAGAAATTAAGTCTTACAAGTCTTTTACCTATCAAGGTGTTCAATATTCTCTTCATGATTGTGTTTACCTATATCATCAAGGTGCGAGAGATACAGATATAGGTAAACTTGTACAGATGTGGGAGTCAAAAACAGGAGCGAAGAGAGGGAAAGTTATATGGTTTTTCCGCCCAATAGATGTATGCAATTTCCTAAGAGAGTATGAGCCATCTTGGAATGAGCTATTTAATTTTGGCTTCTGGTGAGGGCAAAGGTGTTTCCAACATTAGTCCTCTGGTGATTTCTCCTACCTTCTTGTTCACTTTTCTAATGATTTCTAATGCCTTGCAAGCTGATAAATTGCATTTTGGGAATCATTGTGAACGCTTCCCTTATCAAATACTAGTACGAAGTATATGCACTTTATGTGACCAATAAATATATATTGATTGAACAAAATTAGGTAATTTTGTTCTATGTTGCAGTTATTCGTAAGTGAAATTTTCTTTCCCTTGGAAGAGTTTCTGTAGATGTTTTAATAAGGGCACATATGCAAACGAATCAGTAGGCACTATAGCCATACTGGTACTCAGAACTGTTATGGTTGGATGAAGCTATCAATTGTTGTAAGATGTGTATTAATGTATTACGGAGTATTAATCAGCCTTTATGTTTACCGACACTTTGTTAAGAGTAATGTTTATACTGTATTTTCTTTCGTCAAACTGGGTGTAATTTTGTGATGGGTAAAACATACTTCACAGAAAGAGTTAATATGAGATTGAAATATAAGACTATTTTTCCACAATTCTAAGATTTTTACAATATTGGCATTTATCAAACTTAGCTAAGTTTAAGTCTATTTTACTCAAACTTGACTTGGTGTTCTTGTTTAATTTGTTTATATAATTATATTACCTCATATTTTTTACTAGTCTATTAAGCTAACATGCAATTTAATTTTATCAATAATCCGTTGTAGTCTAGTTGGTTAGGATACTCGGCTCTCACCCGAGAGACCCGGGTTCAAGTCCCGGCAACGGAAGTTTTTTTATTTTTTATTTTTTAATCCCAATCTTAAAAGTAGCTACATATACAAAGATGCGTTATTAATACTTTCTCCGTTTTTTTTTTAATTGCGAAAACTTTTTTAAAAAGGCAAGTGGTGCAATATTAAAAAAAATGGAGGAAGTATAATCAATGTCAAAAATCTACTACAGATTTACAGAATTTCTTTTCGTTTGAATAGATAGGACAATTAGCTCACAAGATTCCTATATGGCTATATTATAATGCAATGCCAAAATATTTTACTACTTATTGCTCTTTTAATATTACATGGGAAAACTTATGCTGTCCAAAACATTATTTTAAAACTTAACCATCTCTCTAGTAATTACATAAAAATAGTTTATTATAAATTATAATTAAAACATTGTAATATTTAAAGAACGGATAATACATTCATATTAATTGCAACGATTTGACATAAGATGTGAGTAGAAAATGATGTTGCAAATAATATGAACTGAATGTAATATATAAATGCCGATCATGTCATCCATGACGCAGCAATAAGAAATTAAAACAAGAAAACTTCCTTAAACAAATGAGTAAAGGGTACCTTTGGTGGGGAGAAGCTTGAAGCTGAGAACAAAAGTTAGAAACAGAAAGAGAAGAAGCAACATCAAAAAGTCCCAAAGCTTCATAAAGTGGATTCTTTTCGCTTGGTGCCATATACCCACTTCCTGGAATCACATCTACGTTACGCCGTTTGATCTCAATTGGAAGATCAAGCAATTCCTTTGAAACTGATTTCATTTCTGCCATTAATTTTAAGGGTACCCCATGATTTATTACTCTGAAACATCCCCATTTTTCAATGATTTCTCTTAATTTTATGGACTTTTCTTCAATTTGGTGTGCATCTATTACTGGGATTTTTCCTTCCATTTTCTCTCTCCTCTTTTTCTTTGTGTTTTTTTGTGCTTGCTGAGTGTAATAAATTAATACTCACTTGTAATAAGGTTAGTTTGTGACACTTTGATGCTGATGTATTTAAGGTTAATTAGAAGAGTAACACTAGTAGATGCTTTTATTAGCTGTCATTCGGTAAAGCGTTTATTAGTACCTCAGCCTTACAAAGATTGCTTCTTATAACAAAAACGTAACTCGTACATTTCATTAAGGATCAATGTTATAAAAAAGTAAGAGCTCAAACAATTAGTTGTAAATGTTATAATTTACTTCGTATTTTTAGCATTCACAATGATTGCATATAAGGACATGTTTGTAATTTCTAAATAATTAGAGCTACATACTAATCATTGTAGATCTACATATCTCCAAAGTCATTAGCTAAACGACTAATGGAGGAAGTATATTTTACTATCAAGTCCGCACATTAGCGGTACTTTTTTTTTGGTTTTTCTAAGCTATACCCCTAAGCTAGTCGAGTTTTTAAGGTGTATCCATGCTTTTTCAAGTTTTTAAGCCGTGCCTTCAAAAACTTATCAATACTAAAATGTACCCTTATTAGTTGTTTAAAAGTTAATTAAGAGTGTGATTTCGTAGCTTCAGTTTTCGTTATTAGGGTTGCGGTGGCTAAGATTTCTTTCTCCTATCATTTCCTTACCTTTTATCATATTTTTATTAAATTTATAGTTAACTTTAGGTGACGTGGAAGTCCCAAGGAGGGTACCATTCATTAATGGTAATGAGTTGAGGGTCACAACTTAGAAATTTGAAAAAGGATGGGTACACCTTACAAACACGACCACCTTAGGGGCATAGCTTAGAAAAACCCTTTTTTTTAATAGGACATTTGTGGTACTTTGTCCGCTTTAAGCTTGCACTTTTTTTTTTTTTTTTACCATCTTTCCACTATGCCGAATGAGCTTAAGAAATATTTAATTTATAATAATATTTCCATTCAAAAAAAAAATATAATAATATTTTTTCTTCCTACTTTACCAGTATATAATTCCATATATTTATATTAAAAATACTCCCTTCGCGTTTTAATACATTTACCAAATACGGTCGTGTTTTAATAAGTGTTACGCTTTCTTTTTTGGCAAAAAGCTACATTCATTATTTTTCAATAAATTATTAACTTCACTATCTTTCTTTAATAATTTTTTAATACTCCAACTACCCTACTTACCTCTTATCTTATCTAAGTCAGTTAAATTGCCCAAAACTATATGCCGGTCAAAGTGTAACACTTATGAAAAACACGAACGGAGTAATAATAATTTCAACGTAATGATATCTTTTTCTCCCAAAATCAATGTATGAAGTAATTATTTTGCAACTACATAAAAAAATGAAGTAGATTGTAGATATTCTTCATAAAATTTGATAAAATCGTATATTGCACAGGATTTAAAGTTTAAACTAGTACTTGATACACCAAATTAGGGGAAAAAAATCTTCATAAAATTAATATGCAGTAGTTCCATTTTTATCATTCTTCCGTTGTATTCTAGTTGGTCAGGATACTCGGCTCTCACCCGAGAGACCCGGATTCAAGTCCCGGCAATGGAATTTTTTATTTTTATTTCTACAAATGGCTCTGGTCCTGTGGACTGTAGCCAAGATAAATTGTACAATAACATCTCCAAAGCAACTTCAACTAAACACATTTCATAATTACCTGATATTAAAAACAAATTGTCTCCCTCCTTGCATAAGTCACGCTATTAAATACAGTATAGTTTAAACTATTTCACCATTGAATATAGTTTAAACCATTAACGTAGTTACGTAGTGAATGTGTATCAGTGCATGTCATATAATAGTGGCGTCCATGTAAATTTTTTTTACTGTCCAAATGAGTCACAAAAACAATACAAATTACCAATGACCACGTACCTTTGTGCAAGGAATCAGCCTAAAACCAATATTCGTTTCACTTATGCAAGAAGGCCCAAGAAGAATTAGCTAGAAGAATGCTGAGTTGGAAGGTAGTTAGTATCAGTTTTGGGTAGAGGGTAAAATAGTAATCTATAGAAAAGTTTGTTATGAGTTTGTTATTTTGGCTGCCATGTGTTTAAGTTTGTTTTATGGGTTAATTTTGGGGTATTCATAGGTGATTGGTTGAGGGGAAGGCATCAAGAAATTAATTAAGGAGTTTGTATTGGGAGAGCTCCTTCCTCACGAAAGAAGGCCTGTATTGTTAAACACTTTGTTTGATAATACTACTATCATTCCCTGGGTTGCCATTGTTCTAGCTCGCTTACTTTCTGCTTTCATATTAATCTCTAGCAAATTTGGTATCAGAGCAGTGACGATCCAAGCCGGGAAAAGAGATGGCTCGCCTGAATCACGGTCAGCGTTTAGATTTGTTGGAGCAGGAGATAGCTGGGCTTCCGTCGCGAGTGGCTCAGGAGATCACCACTGTGATGACAGCTTTCAAAATAGACCTCAATTCCCATATCGTTGTTGGCCAGGAGAAAATTTGATCAGAATTTCACTCTTCCCTGGTGAATGGACCACAAAACCAGTGGGATAATCCATTCTCTTCACGATCTCACTTGGATTATGGAGACAGTGGCTATCATGGTGGGCAATCGAACTGGAAATTGAGGAAACTCGATTTACCTCTGTTTGATGGAACAAACCCAGATGATTGGATCCTTAGAGCTGAACGATTCTTCCATTTTTACCTGTTAAGTGAAGAGGATCAGCTCGAGGCGGCCATTGTCGCGCCTGACGGAGACGCCTTGATTTGGTATCAATAGGAGCATCGGCACCATCCATTGTTATCGTGGAAAGCGCTGAAGAAGTTGCTTCTCTGGCGTTTCAGAACCACCGCCACTGGCCCGCTACACGATCAGTGGCTCGCTCACCAGCAAACCGGCACAGTGGCTGATTATCGGCGACGCTTCATCGAACTTCTCGCTCCGATTGATGGTGTACCAGGGAGATCGCAAAGGGTCAGTATATTAATGGGTTAAAGGAGGAAATTCGGGTTGAGGTCCGGATCTTAGACCCGATAACCTTAGATCACGCCATGGATCTGTCCATGCAAATTGAGGAAAAATTGAGGATCGGCCCACGGCCCAAACTTGCTGGAAACACGCCACTTGGCGTACCCCCTTCCCAAACCCTCGATCCAACCCAAACACACCACAACCCTAAACACAAACCCGAACCACCAGACTTCCACCTACCAACCTTTTCCGAACCGAAACACCTTCAACAACCACAAAAACACCGGCAAAATAAGGCGGTAAACCGAAAAGGAACTTCAACAAAAGCAGGAGCAGGGTTTGTGCTTCCGTTGTGATGAAAAGTGGACGATGAACCACCGCTGTCAACGCAGCGGCTTGAGCGTGTTGCTCATGGTGGATGATGATGACGAGGATGACTTAGAGAAGGCAGTGGAAGCAGATCAGACATTCCTACAGCCTTCATACCACTGGTACAAGAATTTCAGCATGTATTTCACATGCCTAATGGGTTACCCCACAGAGACAGATTGAGCATGCCATTGTGTTGCGTAGTGGTGCTAATCCAATTAGAGTCAGACCATATAGATATCCGCAAACTCGGAAGGATGAAATTGAGAGGCTGGTTTCGGATATGCTCAGTGCAGAGATAATTCAGACTTCGACAAGTGCTTGCTCTAGTCCGGTTTTGTTGGTGAAGAAAAAAGACGGGTCATGGCGTTTTTGCGTTGATTACAGGGCCCTAAACAAGGAAACAGTCACTGATAAATTCCCAATCCCCATCATTGATGAATTACTTAACGAATTGGGTGGCTCGGCGATTTTCACAAAACTTGACTTATAATCTGGTTACCACCAGATTCAGGTGAAGCCCGAGGACGTTCATAAGATAGCTTTTCGAACCCATGAGGGTCATTACGAGTTCCTCGTAATGCCCTTTGGGCTAACCAATGCCCCTGCCACGTTTTCAGTCACTTATGAACGACGTTTTCAGGCCCTTCCTGCGTAAGTTCGTCTTGGTGTTCTTCGACGACATATTGTTGTATAGTCCTTGTATTGAAACTCATAAGGAACACTTGCAGCAAGTTTTGCAGTTTCTAGCCGACCACCAGTTGTTTGCCAATTTTAAGAAGCGTGAAGTCGGGAAGGAAAGGGTGGCTTATCTAGGTCACGTCATCTCAGCAACCGGGGTGGAAGTTGACTCTTCCGAGGTCCAGGCCATGTTAGATTGGCCTCCCCTACAAACTTGAAGCAGCTCAGGGGGTTCCTTGGCCTTACAGGTTACTATCGCAAGTTTATTAAAGGCTATGCACAAATTACTCTTCCCTTGACTGATCAATTGCGCAAGGAGAATTTTGGGTGGACTGAGGCTGCCACTTCAGCCTTCAATACACTAAAGGCTGCCATGGTGAATGCTCCTATCTTGGCAGCACCTGATTTCTCTCTGCCTTTTGTGGTTGAAACGGATGCTTCAGGGCATGGCTTAGGGGTTGTCCTGCTACAGGCAGAGCACCCAATTGCGTATTATAGCAAAATCTTGGGCATTAGAAATAGGGGTAAACCCATCTACGAGAAGGAGTTGATGGCAATTGTGTTTGCGGTAGAGAAATGGAGGCATTATTTGCTGGGCCGTCATTTCATTGTTCGAACCAATCAAAGAAGCCTTAAGTATCTCTTGGAAGAAAGGGAGGTGGGACAAGCATACCAAAAGTGGATTAGCAAGCTGATTGGGTACACTTTTGATATTCATTACAAGCCGGGTCCTACCAATAAAGTGGCAGACGCGCTATCCGCCAACATAGCCCTGAGTTTGAATGTGGTACTATGGTGACTTCATGTGGTCTTCGTTGGTATTATGTACAAGCTTTTATAGATAAGGATGCAGCTCTACAACGTTTGATTTTGCAACTACAAAAAGGGGAAGCAGCACCAAAGTGGTTTACATTGGAAAATGGTGTTTTGAAATACAGGGGAGGATAGTGGTCCCGAAGTAATGTGAGCTGACCTCCAAGCTGCTCAAAGAGTATCATGACTCTTTGGTGGGTGGCACGATGGTGACCTCAAGACTTACCACCGTTTTTTGGCAGGGGAATGGTTC